AGCCCTCCCATTCCATGCTGCTCGTTTGCTTTCGGCCGTGGCTCTGCAACACTGATCTGCTTGGCTCTGCTTGGCTCCTTCCTTAACAATAAACACTGAGAAAGACACAAAAAAGATATGTTCTAATGAGGAAGAAGCTTGAAAACTTAGGCTGTGTTTTCAAGATGTACAAACTGTGACACTGCTTCGTTAAACACACTTCCACATTCTCCACAAATTACCCTCTTTTTGTGTCGGGGTATGTAAAGAAGGAGCGGCGTTTCCTTTTACTAACAGAATACAACGGAATTTAATGATAACTACGCCATAACCATGTTCACTTAGCGTGCTTCTGGTACAGGACAGTTAAAAACCAATCAGGGCTAATTGTGTTATGCAATAAAATTGTTTAATCACAATCCATGTTCAAATGTATCAGATGTTGTCGCCTTCAGACCCAGTCTTTTACTCATTCCATGTATATTACCAAGAGCATACCACCTCGAAGCGATATACTTCTGATATTACTTAGGGTGAATTAAGTTATGGGTACCGATTGCAACTTTCGATTCTTTTGGGACGTTTCCGAGTTTAAGTCGGTATTTCGTAACCCGCTGTTAAAATAAGGATCTTATGATTGTCAGATTAAGAAGATCAATGAAAGCCTGACCTTCCAAACTTTGCCGAGACAGGAAATTAAAACGGAAAGACCTCTCCACATTAATTTTTGCCTTCAATTTGTAAGCAGTAACAAAGCACACACAGATACCGCTGCGGGCTACAGTTGGATCAAAAAATGCAAACAACCAGCACCCAGAAATTTCAACAATTAAGAAATAAAGAAGCCTAAGCCGTGTATTACACTGTGATAAAACACGACGGGCATTTGAGAACACCAAGGAAATTGTAGATAACACGTGCCGCAGGCGAGTGTTTTCTACATTTCTCGTGATCGAGTGTTCTCAAATGCCCGGATTGTCTTATCACAGTGTAATACACGGCTTAGGCTTCTTCATTTACTTTATGACAAAGAGGTAATGTGGCGAAAAACAATGAAACGCGCTTTTTCTGTTTTATACTCTGATAAAACATGGGTTTTTGACCAATCAGAGAGCGCGCACCGTCCTATCTATATTATGAACTGCTATAATGTAGTATTATAACCGAAACTGAATTGTAATAACGTTTAAGAATCGTGTAAGGTCGATTTGCTGCTTCGCTTCCGATCATTCTATTTGAACTACAAAGAACTGTGCTCTACTCGACCTAGTCCTTTCGCGACATTTTATTTGGTATGAATTGCTTGCCCGAGTATTCCACGAAACATAACTAACAAAAAAAAAGCTACGGTCTGACATACAAATGAATGGACAACTGGGCGGTGCTGATAAGTTTCAGGCAAACTCTTCATAAAACAAGACGCTAAAAATATTCAATGAAAGGTAACGGTTGGTATCACCTATAATATTTGACTAGGAAAGAGTTATTTAGTCTTAAATGACAAGTTGCATTATCAAATCCTTCTGATATCGCCAATCAACCTAAACGTCTTTGTATACTAAGCCTTCTAATTTTAGAATTGGGTTTGATTTCTAGAACTTGTTTTTGATAACATAATGTGATCACCTCTTATTACAAAACGGGTGAATGAAAAGTGTTATATCTCTTTCTTGCTTTTATAGGGTTGACAAGTTCCGTAAACCTCACGGTTAGGGACCTTGAATAACACAATAACAACACCACCTCAACAGCGGAACATATTAGCCTCAATTTGACCCTGATGAACATCATAATGCGCTTTTTGATGACACTTTTCTTTCTCGTGTCAGAAATCAGTGGAGTACCTTTCCTCGAGCGTGAAGAGGGTGAGTTCCTAAAAGGATTTCTTCACACCTGTTCTTGTTGTTTTTGTTTGTTTTGATATCAAATCCGTCATATTCACTGTCTGTGATGGTGTTTGCTTCTTAGTTATGTGTTCTCTTTGAACAAAAGGGAGTTCAAGAATAATTCATTTGTAATTCTTAACACTAAGAAACATAGCGGCAGGCACTTTTTCCCAATTTGCACTATCATTACTTTCATCTGGGGAGTGAGTATTGACCACATGGTACCTTCAGTGATTGGGTAAAATAAACGAGAACCCGTGCTCTAAGCAGGTTATTTCGACGTTATTTTGCGATAAACAAAAATGGCTGGTTTCTTGGCGCTATAAGAATACAAGTGAAGTAAACTACTTGTACTCTTGTTTAATTTGGATGTTGCAAAGCCTCATTACCCAGCGAGACAGACATTCCCTTCAATTCTCTTTCTCTCCAAGCAGATCGATGTAAAATGCCACATTCCAGGAATGGAAAATATGCAAGAGGAAACTGAGGAGGGCGCTCTTGCAATAGCGAACACTTTATTTATGTTAGTCGTCTAACACCAATCAGATTCGGTTTCAGAGTTGCGCCCTCATTTCAATGAGCGCTTTCTCTCTTGTAACTTCTTAAAGCATTCTAGTTTTGTTGCCATTTTAGCTTTGAAATTAAACTACTTTCCTTTAAATTCATAAGTGCGTTTTTCTCACTACCAAACTGGATCGCCTCTCTTCTAATTAACACCTCGACATCTCTCGAGTGTAGACTTTCCTGTACTCACCATATTCCGTACTCAACTATATTCCCGTACTCAGCCCTACTCTTTTTATAATCATGAGTCCCAAGTAATACTTCCAAAATTCGTTTTCGAATTACGCATTAATTTCCCTCCCTCGCCTTCTCGTCCACATGTCATAAGTTACTCGTTTTCTCCCCTGCATCATCTCAGTCTGCTAAACACAGCTATTTAGACTGGTTATGTAAAAGTTCTAACCTATTATTTCTTGTTTAATTCGGCCAGGAAACTCGTTCGACTACTTATATGACGAAGACCTGAATCAACCTTCAATGCATCACGAAAATCTCTCTGCATTTGACGAGATTTGGAAAACTAACGAAGGTAGGTGCATTGCTTATTCTGTCGTAGTTTTTGAGCGGTCCGTCTTCATCTTTCTCCAAGCACGGAGGTAAGCGCGGCAAAGGAGAATTATCGTGCGGCGATTGACAGAGATCCAAGCACTAGAAATCCCCCTCCCTTTCTAGTTGCGACCAAAATACCAGCGATGTCCTTTTTCGCTGCAGCGATGCACAATCCACTGAAATTTAGTGAGGAATGCAGACATCTAGCTCGATCAGATGTGTCATTGTTGTCCCAATGTACAGTCGAACGGCCACCCTCGGGGAAGTGGATAGGGGCCGATTAAAAAGGGTTCTACTGTATATTGTTTAGTGCTTTTGCATTCCCTCGGAAGATCCATATAAGAATGTAAAAAAAAAAAAAAAAAAGCCGAAGTTTAAGACAGGTACTGAAGTTAAGTTATTTGTGGATATATGGTCAGATAACGTACACGGTGTCACACAGACGGAGATTTGTCTGGAAATCCTTCACTGGTTGCTTCAATCCAAATCGTAATAGAGCCGTCTAGGCGTACGCCTGTCCTTGATGGCATAGCACTCTCTTATGCACACTGAGAAATTGCATCCATGCCTTGAATAGAGAAATGCTTCTTGCACTTTGCACCTTTCTATCATCGATTAAATTATGGGAAAGATGTTGATAGCTTAGAGGGTGTTTTTCGTTTTTAGCCGAAGACTTAGATGACTTAGTAGAGGGTGACATCAAGATTGACGCGAGTCCTGAAAACACTAATGATCAAGAAAAGAGCGAGGACGCAGTTCGAAATCGTCAATACACTTGGAGGACCAAGATTATTCCTTACGAAGTCTCTAAAGAACTTGGTAAGTAACTGACGTCTTGCTAACCGCGCCCGGGGGCTGTACTGGAGAACATAGGTGTCCTGGGTGTTTGCGGTGCTTACGTACCGAGAGCAGCGAGGTCCGTACAAAAACGACCAGGGGTGAATATTCTCTGGTACTATTTGAGCGATTGAGGTTCAGGAAGCAATTAATTATATGACATTAGGGTAATTACGATAAAAAGATGTTTCAGTGTAAGTTTTGGCGGAAGTAAATGCTTTCGTTTATAAATAAGCAAATATACGAGAAACTTCATCATTTTGTAGACGACTTCCAGCCACTACACACTAATGAATGATATAGTACGATAGCTCAGCCAATCAGATAGCAGCATTTGCATAAGAGTGCAAGTAGAAATACAGTAGCCAAAGTAATCAATGCAACATATATACACTTAGCAGACGATGAGAAGGTTGCGTGTAATACCATCGAATATAAAACGGCTTTCCTGTACTCTGATTGGCTGTATTTTCTATGGCATGGAATAAATATGATATATTCACCTTATAACCTTACCTCTTTTCTGTTACTAATAACTCTTTTCTCATCCTTGAAGTTGCGGCTGGTTATATTGTCAACATTCGAGCGGCAATTGCTGAGTTTGAAAAGCACACCTGTATCAAATGGAAACCACGCGGAAAAGAGAAATATTGGGTCAGATTCATAAAGGGTAAAGGGTAAATATTGTTTTAAATCCTTTGACATTGGGTATAATCACGTATTATCTTCGCAAGTATATAATAAGCAGAAAGGTTACTGCCTCAGCGGAAGATCAACCATTTCCAGCCATGTAATCACGCAATCTGAAGGATAAGCGATAAACTATAAAAAATAAAATTAATTTAAAAATAAGTAATTAATAATATTGTAATTATAAAGACATGATTGATCATCGCAGTTATACACACAACTTCAGCAGTGGTGAAATTAAAGCCTGAAAAAAATTCGGGCCTTAACGGGATTTGAACCCATGACCAGCTCCAAGTGGTTTGATAGCTCAGCTGGTAGAGCACTGCACCGGTATCGCAGAGGTCATGCGTTCGAATCCCGTTTAGGCCTGATTTTTTTTTCAGCCTTTAATTTCACAACTGCTCAAGTTGTGTGTATAACTGCGATGATCAATCATGTCTTCATATCTTTAATTTCTCCGCAGTTTAAATATATGATCTTTCATATATTAACTTGTAATAGCATAATTACGTTAGAAAGAGCAAAGAAAAGAATTTCCTCAATTGCGAATTTCCATGAAAGTACAAAAAGCTTTTATAGTAAATAAGATTCTCAGTGTAAATTGATCTATGAAGGCTGGTTTTCCTCAACCTCGTTCCCAGAGTCTCTCGGTTTCCCGCTCCAGGGGGTGGGAAGATGAGAGACCCTGGGAACGAGGTTGGGTTTTCCTCAGCGTATAAGCATTATAAGCGACATAAGCAAATAAAAGCGTCAGCAACATACGTTGAAGCAGTACGTAACTCGGCCTTTGGTAGGAAATTTCCCAACAAAAGGCGATACTTAACAACAATTGCATCTGCATGAGCGGCTTATGCTCTAACCAGCCTTGAAAGTTTAGCCTTGATAATAGTGAAGCACTGGTAAGCCAAAAGGGGGCGTCTTTTCATATCAGCAGACGTTTCGGCGCGATCCACTATCAAGCGTTGTGAGTTATATTTTCCTACCTTCGATGAGTTTTGTTGTCATGTGCAGATGCTGGTCACTGGTAGGGTACAGACGCAAAGCACCTCAGCTGATATCTCTTGGAATTGGGTGCAACAAGAAAGGCATCATCTGCCATGAAATGATGCACTGTCTTGGGTTTTTCCACGAACAAGCTCGACCAGACCGAGACAAATACGTGGCAATTTTTTGGGAAAATATCCAAAAAGGTTAGTGAGAGCTTTTGGATATTTTTGAAAGTCTGTCAAGTAAAAAATAAGGTGTTTTTCAAAATATCTCGTACAGGAATATTGACAAGAAGGCGCGAATACCTCTTCGGGGTTTGAAGTTGATGTAATTTCTGGTTGAGCTTTCTTTGGGTAGAAAGATTTTTGCAAGACGTCCTTTTTTGGATCATTAAAAGCGTAGGTATGTGAAAGGAGTACCATTTTCCATCCAAAATAGATTGGATTGGATTCATGGTAGAGCCTCGCCGTATAAAACTTTGATGAGTAACCCCTCGGGCTTATGAGCCACTGGAAACAAGTATCATCTCTATTCCTGCCTCATATCTGAGGACTGTAAAACACATTATGCATTTATGCGGACAAACAATGCGTGCAAGTGGACATCTTCACTATTATTACAAAACTAAAATTGTCTTTACTTTTCAGGGAAAGAGCAGAACTTTAAAAGGATTAGTGAGGTATATGCGGATCCTTTGGACGCTGGCTATGACACAAGTAGTATTATGCATTATGGGAGATATGCCTTTAACAAAAATGGCAGACCTACAATAGAGGTTATTGGTCATCCTCTCTCTCCAATAGGACAACGCCATGGATTCAGTAAAACGGATATAGAACAACTTAACGCTCTTTATGATTGCTCTAATCCTGGTACGTTATTCGTTAACGCTATATCTTGATAGATAGAGCATTGATATGTCGAAGATTCTTATACAACTATCAACAAGTCTCAACTCGACAATCGACATTTGCGTTACATGTCACGCATGCCAGCAGACAGTAACGCCTTCGTACTTCCTTAACAAAACGTTCTTGTCCCTTCGCTAGATTTTTCCTTGTGACATTGTACCGCAATAGATGGACCAGTAACGTTTTTAAAGGGTAAGGGGAGGGGGGAGAGAGAGTTGATGATTTGGTAGTCCATATTAAGGGCAATTTTTTTGCATTAGAGACCTCATGAAGATATAATCTTTCCATATTAATGAAGAGCCGTGCTAAGATCATTCAGCTAGGTCTAAGTTTTGGAAAGGGAGACAAAGATTCAGACTAACAGACAGACAGATAGACAGACAGACAGAAAGAGAAACAGACTGAACGAGACAGAAAGTACAGACAGAAAGACGAATACGAAGGAAGGAAGGAGGACAGAGAGGTGAAATGATAGGCAGAAAAACAGATAGACAGACAGACAGACAGACGGAAGGACAGACAGATGGCAGATTTATCAACTGGTCTATCATTGGGATGTTCCATTTGGATGAATCGGTCAGAATATGAGACGACATCTTGTGGAATATGCCATTTACGTCGGATTTTGCGCCGGCGCTGCATAGAAGCTTTCTGGTTCGATTTGATTGACCCCCTCAGATTTGTCCAAAATCTTGATTTCTTCTTATACTGTGATTATATTCTTTGTAGACACCGGTGGTTGGAGTTCTTGGTCAAACTTTGGTCCCTGCTATGAGGACAGTTACGAATGTGTGCATGATCGGCAGAGGTATTGCTCACACAAGAATAGGAATAATTGTCCAGGTGCCAACAAATATGGTGTACAGAAACAAACAAAGCCCTGTCCCCATAACTGTTCCTGTAAGTATACTAAAATGACCTCAGTCTAGATCATCAGAAGTTTTGAGGCAAAGCAGTAAGCGTGTCCCGTTAACTATAGCTAAACGGTTTGTAAATGTGAGAGCAAAACTTTCGGAAGGTTTTCAAATACTTTCAATACCTTTTAATTAACAATTATATTGGACGAGGTTGAGCAAAATGTCGTGATTTGTCAATGTTTGGCAGATTAGTTATTTGCCTCAGCCTTCGGCTTCGGCAAATAATTTATCCGCTCTCCTTTGTTTGTTTCTGTACACCGGCAAATAATTGATCTGCCAAACACTGACAAATCACGGTATTTTGCTCAACCTCGTCCAATAATTGTTAGTTAAAAGGTATTGAAAGTATTTTTGTATTAAAAAGGTATTAAAAGATATTTTGCGTTAACCGAGTTCAATAACTGTTTTATCATTCGATCACCAAATTTTTTTTCTTATCTAAATCACTCTCTGACAGCTCAGGGGAGCAATCTACCATTTTTCACCAGGGATCATGGTTACAATTACGCATGAGCAGAATACTGTTTGCAGCAAAACACATTTAGACGGTACTACGCATGAGCAGACCATTATTTTAGGCAGTTTATTTGCAGGTCACGTGGTGCGCTCTTGGCCAATGAAAAGGAAGAAAAAAAATGCATCGAATGATAATGCAATTTGATGGTTACTGGGGTCGATGGCCCTGCGTCATGGACGGCTTGTAGTGACACACTTTAGAACAAAGACGAACGGGGTGCGGCTCCACGTTGGCCAATTGCCACCTGATATCTCGAGACAGTTGAAAGTAAAATTTATAAATATGAGAGCGAACGTTTTCGATAGGTTGTCAATTGTCGTTTTACAGTGCCTATTGATGGACACTGGGGTCGCTGGTCATCATGGGCAGCTTGTAGTGTCACATGTGGTTATGGCACACACACTAGAACAAGGACATGCGAGGATCCTGCTCCAAAGTATGGTGGGAAGGATTGTAGAGGAGACAGAAAGGATGTCGGGAAATGTCTAATGACTGTTTGTAATCTTGGTAAGTTAAGGAAATGTTTTCGTATAACATCTGTTTTCTTTTTTCTGTTTGAACCACGCTCCGTAGTAAAAACACTTTACAAACAGGGGATCAATCTTGTCCACGTTAAATAAAATATGTCTATGTCTATGTCTATACCGTAAAAAGCCCCTTCTAACCATCCCTTAGCTCTTGTCGAGCCCACTATGCGAACACTCAGAAAAGCATTACATGCAAGACATATTAAAACATTGGAAGATCTTTTTGTCTTCAATTTTGTTAGTTGGCCCAGACTGACCATAATGACCTTAAGCTAGCTTGAAACAGGAGATCAATCAGTCGTTCTCGGAAAAGTATCTATGAGCGCAGTCTAACCGGTTGTTTGTTTGTTTGCAAGCAGCGCTATGAAGGCACCGACTCGCTAGAAATTAAGGGCATTACGCCGGCGATTAGCTAGATTCAGTGTCTGAGCATGGAAGCGAACGAAATGCGTGGAGATTGAAATGTTGTGCCAGTGATCGAATGAGGGATTCACACCACGAGCGATATTTGAAAATTCTCTCAAAGTTATCCTTGACGAGCTGTTACGATATAAGCAAATGTTATCTGAACTGGCAAAGACACAAACAAGTAGCTGTGCACAGATTCCATTTGATTACCTAACCGTTTGCGCAAAATTGTCTTCACATTTGTCTACATGATTTTTATTGAACGGACTCAACTTGAGCACTGCCTGATTTAAACTGTCCTGATCGTGTTTTGTTTTTCATCAGGTAAATTCGATGTTTCCTTTGAAGCCGAAGGCATGCATGGCTGGAAATTGTGCGATTCACACGAGGAGAAGAAGAAACCAAACTGGTATTTCAGTAGGGGAATAACCTCCTCCCCTAACACAGGACCCAATCAAGATCATACTTCAGGTTCAGGTACCTTCTTAGGCCTCCCTGAGAGTCACGCTTCAGTAATGCAGTGGACTTCAGTTCTAGAAGCCTCGACTCCGGCGATCGATCATTGGAAGTGCTTTGTGTGTTGTGTTTTATTCACTTCACTTTCTTTACCCAGGAGTAAAAAGGCATGGGTCCTGGCAAACTGTTTGAGAAAATGGCAAAGTGCCTGCCACAGACTAGCATCACGAATACGCGAAGAAGGGAAAGTTACATTACTCTTAGTCTGTTCATACCAGCAAACTTTTCTTTTTGACTGCCACAAACCTAAGCCTTGCAAGACTTTATGCAGAGTACATAGGGTTTTAATATGATAATATGATAATATATAACTCAATATGTGGCTATGAACATTTGCTAGTCTGTCACCTTTCGTTTTTACTACAACGTTAATTCCCTCACTGTCCTCAGCGGGCACTGAACTGAGGGAGAAATTAAAATCCAGATTACCAGTACCTCAGTAGCTACAAGAAGAGTATTCAAGCATATGGTAAAATATAAGCGTATAACGTGACAATTTCTCTTATACTGGAGCAAATGTTGTCCATAACGATCAGCGTATCAACAGTACGAGTTTAAAGTGGGTTACGTTCAAAAACTAACCTCGATTGACCATCCGCAGATTAGTGTTTTCCATATCGGGTTTATGTGCACCGTGCGATTCAAAACATTTAACGTTTCAACCGATCGAATATTGCGTGTGATAACTCATCATGACCATAAACTATCGGCTTTCTTTTTCAGGTCGATACATATTTTTTGAGACTTCATATCCAGCCAAAGCAGGAGACGTGGCTTGTTTTTACAGCTCTCAGATACCCCCAGCATCTTGCCAACGATTAACATTTTGGTATCACATGTACGGCGCTCAGATGGGAACACTGAAGGTTTTAAAAAAAGCTAACGGATCAACGACAACGTTGTGGAAGAGATCTTTTCAGCAAGGCATGAACTGGTTACAAGCCAGTGTGGTTATTTCCAGTAAAGCATCATTTCAGGTACAAAAGTATAGAAAAAGAAACTGTTTCGAAATTACACCCCTCTTTCGGTTTTGGTAATCAGGAAGGGATGACTCAAATTTTACGAAGAATCAATACTTTACAGGCTCTCTTCGAAACATATACGGTATACGAGTCCCCTCCGACTGAACTTCATACAAGGCGCCTGGCCAGTCTCGGTTACAAATGAGTTCCTATTCCCTCGGAAGAGTTCTAGAATTGAAGCTGACAAATTTCGCACTGATGATTCGTGAATCACTTCTTATTGGCTGTTACACACGTGTGAAAATTCGATTTTGGAGAAAACGCCAATCAGATAACATTTGTCTGCGAGTGAATTCCACATCATAATTACTTACTGCATCTCTCCATTTTTCAAGTTAACTACAGTCTAACCTCCCATAAGCGACTACCCAAAATGTCAAGCCTAGGTGGTCGCTTACGAGAGCTTAGACCATATTGGGTCAAACTCTTGACCATTAGCATATGGTAACTGCAGAGACTTACCCCATGCGCCAATGCCCATCTAATCCCGTGTAATAACTTTTAGTAGCCACAAAAATATTTAAGCTTTCCAAAGTATTTATTTAGGGTATCATGGTTCGCTTCTGATTAACTGCCTACCACACCTTGTTATCCAATAGACCAATTTCGAAATATTAAAATTCAGCCTAAAACAATAGACCTCAGCACGAGGCTCTGGGGAATAACTACAGAGTTTGTGGGGTTTATTCCCCAGAGCCTCGTGCTGAGGTCTACTGTGTTAAGCTGAATTTTAATATATCGAAATTGGTCTATTTACACTCTGTTATCTGTGAAGTGGTCGCTTATGGGAGGTTAAAAACAAAAGAAAATTTCAAACTTTAAGCTCTAAAAGTGGTCGCGGCCCCTTACGAGAGGTGGTCGCTTACAAGAGGTTCCAAAGATAGGGATTTGATTTGGAAGCTTTTGGTATTTTGGAAAACTGGTCGGTTCGAGAAGTGGTCGCTTACGTATGTTGTTTTAGTTGATATTTACTATACAGTCAAATAAATACTATATAAGCTTACGGGTCTGCAGTTCACAGATACGTAGTTCGTTAGTTCCACAAACTTGCCAAGCAGTCCACATTTCCTAATAACACACAATTTCTTTCTTTGTCAAGATATATTTTCAGGGTGTGCGTGGTAGAGGATATACAGGCGACATTGGAATCGACGATGTCAAACTTAGAGACTGCAGAGCTTACCCTACTTAAGGCACATAGATTGTCGTGTTACCTCCTTAGCAGAAAAATTCAAGGTCGTAATATAGTATTACCACCCTTGTACAATTGCTTTGCGTATTACAAAAACTCTACAGGTCCGCCATGGCTGATAAACTGATTGTAATCGTATTAGAGTTTGAAATAGAGAACTTTTAAAACTCTTTCCTTTTCTGGAAAGAGCGCAAATATATATTTCTTCCTTCCCCGCAGTTAATGAGATATTCAAAAAGTCATTGAAACAGGCAACGAATATCTCATTAACACTGAAAACCTTTAAAAAGGTTTTCAGTGTTTGCTTGCTTGTCCGTCTTCATCCGTTATATGACTGTTAACGTTAAATGAGGTAAGTCACAACAAGCAAGTAACAATTAAACTGAAAATTGTGTCAATTTACAATGGTGCGGACTGGCTGAGGACAATGTCAATTACGAACACAGAAATCCTTCTTTTGTTTCATGCCGCCGAAAATACTGCCTCCAGGGTAGTAAGCTTTAGTAGTCACCAAAATCAGCGTTAAAAGGTACAGTATGAACGACGCCAGAACAATTTCTCCTCTGACAACACTTTCTATGCTGTGCGTTTAACGTGCGCCCACGATCTGGATATCATTCACGTCCACAATTCGATCGCCTTATTATCTTGATTTCCAACTTCTACTCCGCGAAAATATCTAATACTTTCGCTCCGCTTATTTGCAATGTTACTTGATTGGCGTTTGGTTGCTCTGTTTGCTTTGTTTGATCAGTAATCTGTGATTTCATCTCGGCTTGAGTTGTGTCAGCGGCCACAAATCGCTGTCGACCAGAAATAACAGACGCTGCTTGTCCAAACCTCTCACGCGTTTTAGAACGGATGTAACTCTTACCGTCCACGTCATCAATGCTTCGTTTTACACCCGTACCCAGACCTCGGAGATTGTCGCGGACTTCAACAATGACCTGTGTGAAAAGATGGAAAGTGGTTTTGGTTGACTGAACAAGTGCGAAAGCTAAACCAGATGTCCCATTCAAAAACTAATCCTGATCTTAAAAATAAATTCTTTGTCGACCCCAAAATCAACTAAAAGAAGAGAATCACGAGACTTCCGTCATTAATATTCAAAAAAAGTATGTATAGAAAAGAGCTAGCTGTTATCTATCCGATAACAGATATCCAAGCTAGGCAACTCGAAGTTCGTCAAAAATACTCCGCTGCGCGTCGTATTTTCAACTCTCTTCTCGGTGTTTGGAAATGTGCTCAAACACGGTCTTTCGTGTTTGATATATTACGTCAGCCAGCTTTACGTTTAGTGGCCAGGCCACCCTGCAAAGCTGCCTCCTTCGTCAACTTTTCATCGCTTAGATGTAATACAATTAAAATGGTGCCAACTTAAGTCCAGGAAAGTTAAAAAGAATTTTGTCAAACTTTTACGAATGTTTGAATTAGGATATTTAAAATGTCCCCTACCTTATATTAAACAACTTAACAACGCAATAATACAGTCATAACGGAGGACCTGGAACGGGTTAAAATTACATGTCTAACTGAAGAGATGAGAGATGAAGCGTTTTTTAAGTGATAGTTGAGAGCTGAAAAAATTTAATGATAACTGGGATATGGATTGAAAGTTTGAATGACAGCCGAGAAATCGCCGAACATTTCACCAATAACTGTGATCCCAGCAGCTCCATCCAGACCCCCAGAACCGTCTTTAGATAAGCTTTATGCAAAACGGCTATACAACAGTGACTTCACTAAGGGCCGGGCACTGGACAAATTGATCGGCTGTGAGGACGTTTTTGCCCGCCTGGTTCGTGGTAAGAGCATGTTTTAAATAGCAGGAACACCAATTTTCAGACCAGTGCCATGTAAGATTGACAGAGATTAAATAAAGTTTTAAAAATCGCAAAAGCAAGAAATAAAGATTTAAATGTCGCAAAAGTAAGTAAGGTACTGTATGGAAGCGAGGAAGCTTTACCCTCCACAAACCTTTCCCGTTATTTATCACCGCAAAAGGAAGTTTAAGGGTCCATTAACCGATTTATGCGCGCGCTCGCGCGCGTTGCTAAGGAGGTGAAATTTCACTTCCGGNAAATACGAAAGAAAAGTTCGCCTCTATTACTATATTTTAGAAGAAAGTCAAAGGGTTGGTGGGCTTGGCTGAAAGAAATACTAAGTGATAGCAACATTTCAGATGGCGACAGGGCTCTTGTAACTTGCCCACACGGTTACAAATTGAACCTTTCAAGTGACGGAAGATATTACGAACTTAGCTGCGAAATTTGCACAGAGAGAGGGTCAACGAGCTGTTCATCATCTGATGAAGAGACAATAAAATTCACCTCAGGATCTGGTTCGGATTCGTATCACACGGCAGATGAGTGGCTCGTTGAAGATTACTTTGGTAACATTATCCCAGATTATAGAGACCGAGAAACAAAGATGTATGAAGCGCTTTTGAAAAGGGATTTTTGCACTGGCGCGGAGAGAAATAATTATTATTAAATAATTTCTCATTTTGAACGAATTATTTTAATCATCTCCCACTTTTAAGTGATTACCCATTTTGAACTCATTGCCTCCGTTGAACTAGTTACTTTATAAATTGTTCCTCTATAAATAGCAGCCTCTTCTTGGTCTCACTAAAGAATAATTATCCTGGGTTACTGGAGGAAATACAGTATTGTAATTTGTACCTTTTTTATACATCTCCTGGAATTAAAACCATAAAGAAATGCCCAGTAGTACTTTGTACAAACTATCTTATCAAGATTCCATAAAACATAACATTGAGGCCAGAAGGATTAATTTATAAGTACAATAAATGATGAAATGAAAAAAAAAAGCACTCTCTTCTTTTTTTGTCTCCATTTATTTTGTCTCCATTGTCTGGGTGGCTGATCCCCGCAATGTCATTTAAATGTTCTCAGCTGCAAATTCCTCCAGTTCTACGGGCTGATATTTTCCGAATATTTTTAGAATCAATCTCAGGACTCTTGGACGGATATTTTAGGGAATGTTCGACTACTCAAGAAAAGGGTAATCACAACAGACGCAAAGCTTTGTACCAAGACAAAAAAAATACCACCAATCAGAGCTCGTGTTTTATGCATTTTGTTACGATTAAAAACGTCTTCTACTATTAAAACTGCACGCTTACTGGTTCACGGCGACCAGCTCCCTCTCGTCCCAGTCCCTCTCCTTCTTTCCAGCCCATCTTTTCTAACATTTGACGACCAACATTCTCTGTACTAATTGGTCTGAAAACAAACAAAATAACACGTAAGAAATTACACAAATTCTGGCATCTTTTTTTTTTTTTTTTTTAAAGCAATAATAAGAACCGGGATTTCACTGCAAAAGAGCAATGACTGCCAACTCAATGAAACAATAGACGTCCTTGACTTTGGAAGCACACTGTACACGAGAGAAATTCTCCATTTTCACCAAAACAAAACAAGGCAAAATTGAGAGACGAATCAACTGGGACATGTGACAGTCAGGTCGGTTGCCATGACGATAGGACGATGTTCCCACGTAACACTTACGTGTAAAAAATTGTTAGTTAGACATCAGTTGGACAGGCAAGAAAAAGTAGCTAAAATACGAAGTTGTGATTTAAGGTGACATCACTCAGATTACCTGTGAACAGATGCTGGAGGATCGTCGGCGACAACAACAGGGACATCACTTCCTACCTTCGTACGTCTAAAGATCAAGCAAAGATAAAATTCTAGCAAAATTCTGCTGAGAATGTTCACAAAGAGCTGAAAATGCGACACAAGGCATATACGATGCTTCGAGGTGTCATTTTCTCTGGAATGCAAATAGCACTTGGAAAGAACTCAACAGAAAACACTTGGAATATTATTCCGAATGCGACCGAATGCGAGAACAGAGCTCAAGTTCTCGCAAGTGAGCGTATCTATAGCTGGTCGCTCGCGAGACCGACATCTCATAAGCAACTAGCAGGAATGATCGTTTACAGAAGCTTCCAATTTCAACGGTTTTCGAGAAGGTGGTCACTGAACAGAGATGGTCGCTTACAAGAGTGGCTCAAGAAGATCTTCAATTGTAAAAATAAATCATAACAGCAAATCTCTTAGTTCGTCTTGCGTGATCGTCCGGCTGAGGGTAGTTCTGAAAAGAACTGTTGTTGGTGACTACAACACCCTACCCTCAGCCGGATCACACAAGACGAACTACTGATCCTCCTGGGTTCAAACCATTTACTAAATAAATATCCTCCTAGCAAGTCTTCGAAGAGAAATCCACTGAGTAATCTGGTTTAATTGCCTAATTAGAAATACATGTACATGTAGCACTTCAAAATTATCACACCAGCTTGTTGTTACTAGGCAACCCAGCTCAGTTGAGTTCTAATCATGTGCCGTGATTCGACCAATCACTGCTTTGATTTGCACTAACCTGACGTCAGCACGATCTTTGTACTTTCCTGCAAGAGTTGAATCGATGGTTTCTTCCGAGTAAAAGGATTCCTGAAACAGATAACTTCGCGTTATGATTCTTAGAAAGTACTAAACTTTCAGAAACTTTCATCTAGTCATTTATTTAAAAGAAATCGAGTATTCAGTTTTAATTTTCCTCGCACGCAAAATTAAAAAAATTAAAGGAGTTACTTCAAGGTTTGCACATCTTGAAAAGTTTAGCCTAAATTACAGCTAAATTTTCTAAATTGTTTGCTGGTAATCGCTGTTAATCTTCTCCATCCGTAACTGTCCTCATTCCTTTATGATTCATTACCATCTGTTCAGTGTTTTTCTATCTAAGTAGGCTATTATTTTCAGGCTTCCTTCAGTTTAGAGGTAATTTTGTAGATGGCCAAAATAACTCAAAATACCGTGGCTGAGCTCCTTTAAGATCAATTAAGATTCTGGGAGATGCAATATCATTTTCCCCAACTAGTGCGTAAAGAAGATTCGAAATATACATAAACGGCTGGTCACGAGTGTTTTATGGCGCTAAATGCAAAGGTCTCTGGTTCAAATCCTCCGTCGTGCCTCTAACTGGATTTATTCTCGGTAGCCTCAAACTAAACTCAACTCTTGCATGACTTTTTGCATGTGAACAACAGGTCGGGTTTCTTAATAGTCGATGTTTTATTAAAAAAAATATGTTTGTTTATTTACCGTGTCACCAATTGGTACAGTAAACACGATATTTCTAGATCAACTGACTGTAATTTTTCCACTTCACACGTAATAGCACTTGTCCTGTAACAATGTAAACGAGGTGCAGTGATTGACTGTAGGTCTGTTTAAAAAGAAGTGACTCACCTCCAGGGCGTACGCCTTTTTGATTCTCTTGAGTTCTGATTTTCTCTGTTCTTGTACTGATAATGAATTCAGTGATCTATCTCCTTCAATTACTTTGGTAATACAGACTGCAAAAGAAATCAAATTAAACAGGATTAATAAATCAATTAATCAATCAATTAGTCAATCAATCAATCAAACAATCAGTCAGTCAGTCAGTCAGTCAGTCAGTCAGTCAGTCAGTCAGTCCGCAGTTAGTGGAGTCACGGTCAGTGAGTCAGTCAGTCGGTGAGTCAGGGTGTCAGTGAGTCAGTGAGTCAGTCGGTCAGTAGGCCATGGTGCCAGTCAGTCAACATGCAATGTCTGTCACAGGGTTTCAGTCAGTCAACTATCAGTCAGTCCATCCGTCCACCAATCAATCGTACTAAGAGCTGCTAAATATTTCCCTCTTTATTGAAAAGTAGATTTCCACGTTTCTGAAAGTCAAAACCAAGTTTCCATTGCACTGAGAAAAAATATATGTGATTTACAAGGGTTAAAGGAGTTTTCTTCGCCTTAATAATGAACTAGTCGCGTGAATTAGGTTTGACGAAAAGTACGGTATCGTGTAGCCGAGGCACCAGGCCAAATATAATAACTATATCAGAAGCCAACGCAGAAAATTGAAGAGGAAAAACCGTGATCTACAGGGAAAAGGAAAACATAACTACCTTATTACATGAAATTTTCGCGACACGTTAATTTCGCGAATTTCGCGATTTAAAAAAAATCGCGAAATTTAAGTGACGCGAAAATTAAATGT